TTAGTCTGACCCGTCACCCAGGACCTGTTTGCCTTGGGAGACCCTACCAGGGACATATAGCCCCCGACAACATAGCTCCTAGGATCACTCGGGTACTCAAACCGCTCCACCACAATAAGGTGGCAGTTCAAGGAGGGGGACTATTGCCTTCTCACCTCAAACTCACCTCCGGTGTCATGCCATGATTTACAAGCAGACATCTCAGTTTTACTAGCAGCTCACTGGCTTTACAGCAGCAGTTACCTGGATCATGTTGCCAGTATATGGCACAGATCAGGCATCATTTAGAGCTCATGTTTTTTTTAATACAGAGAACAATGCAGTCTTCAGATTTAAGGTTCTTAGAGAGGTGCCTTCTTGTCTGTTGTGGAAATAAATGACTGAGGAGAAGGACTGACAAATGAGAGATCACTGCGACCTGGGCCACCAGCACCCTTCACTGGTTCTACTGTATTTCTCTGACAGTGAGAGACAGTGTGTATATTTGTGGAGGCAAGCATTTGTTCATTGTTTTGTGTTGTGCCAGTTTGTGTGTATGTGTGTTGTAGCAGACAGCAGTGAGTCACAGTTGCTATTCATATGCTGTTAATGCACCATACTGTATGAGTAGAAATGGAAATTAGGGAAATAACTGAGGAAATGAAGAGTAGGTGGTAAAACAAAGAGGCTGGAATAAATGGCTGGGTGTAAATGTTTTGTCAATTTGAAATGGCAGCACATTTAATGACCCTACCTTTAAATATGTATAGTGTTTACATTAATTACTGCTGTCCAAACTTAGAGAAATGTTATTCAGATTGGGTTAAAATCTTCTATTCCCTAAAATCTTTGTGTGAATTTTATAAAAGTGTTGATCTTGGATTTTTAATTGAAATTTACCCTAATGTTTTATACGTTTTTACTTTGGTAGAGATCATGAACAAGTCCACTAGGGCTTGTTTCCTCTCCCTGCACAGATTTGTCTTTTGCTATTGTTAATTATAGAATTTGTTTGCTGTCATTTGTACAGTATAAAAACTTCAAAAGAAAATGAAATTCATGGTTCTGAGCATCAGCGTTGTTCCTAATGAGCCAAACCAGTTTTCTCTGGATCTTGAACTTGGACCTTGAGTCTATAATAAAGTGTCATTTTTTCATTCATTCTCTGCAGTATATTCCCGTCTCCGGAGCAGAACCCTGGACTGTCCCACTACCAGAGCTCGTTAAATACCGGCGGCTCCCTGCCCGACCTCAGCAACCTGCACTTCCCCTCTCCGCTCTCCACCCCACTGGACCCTGAGGACAACACAGGGTATCCCAACCTCAGTGGGGGCAGCAGCACTGGAAACCTGCCAGCCGCCATGATGCACTTGGGCATCAGCAACACACAGGGTGGGTGGAGTACAGCTTTGCACTCGTGTGCTTATGTATGACCCTTACTTGTGACCTCTACTGGTTGATTTACAGTTTTTGTTTTGTTCTTTTAATAATTTCTAGAGTTACAATTCAGTCAGGAGACAAACTTAATGCATTGTGTGATGTTTAAGGATACTCACTGTTTGTCTTCCAGTCCATTTCTTATTAAAATTATTTTAAACACATTTAAATCTTGCATCCAAAGCTGAGACTGTTGCCATCACATCATCAGAGAAATCATGTTTAAAACAACAAAAACATAAAGGTATAAAAGACTGTATCAGAGTTAGCAGTTTCCTATACATCAGAGTAAAACGGTGATCTACAAATATCAGGTAATGGAATGTGGTTTAATATATTTTTTTAAAACACTCCTCACATTTAAAATAACCATCTATATTGTATTTGGAGATTGTGTGGTCATGACAAAAGATCAACATTTTGGCAGGATATATGTTTAACCTGTAAAAAGATATTTTAGGTTTCAGGATATTGTATCCTACATTTCCTGCAGAAGAAGTAGCATTAAGAGGTGACTTCTCTCCGTACTTGCAGACCATCAGTAATTTAAAAACTCTGCAAACTCAGACAGTGGGTACGGAAAGTATTCAGACCCCCTTAAATGTTTCACTCTTTGTTATATTGCAGCCATATGCTAAAATCATTTAAGTTCATTTTTTTCCTCATTAATGTACACACAGCACCCCATATTGACAGAAAAACACAGAATTTTTGACATTTTTGCAGATTTATTAAAAAAGAAAAACTGAAATATCACATGGTCATAAGTATTCAGACCCTTTGCTCAGTATTTAGTAGAAGCACCCTTTTGAGCTAATACAGCCATGAGTCTTTTTGGGAATGATGCAACAAGTTTTCACACCTGCATTTGGGGATCCTCTGCCATTCCTCCTTGCAGATCCTCTCCAGTGCTGTCAGGTTGGATGGTAAACGTTGGTGGACAGCCATTTTCAGGTCTCTCCAGAGATGCTCAATGGGGTTTAAGTCAGGGCTCTGGCTGGGCCATTCAAGAACAGTCAAGGAGTTGTTGT